TTTGCTATCTTTTGACGTACGCTTTTGACGAACTCATCACTTTGACGAACTTTTAAGAAAATAAAGTTTTCAGTAACCGGACGTTTTTATTAAATTAAAACAACGGTTTTTTTAAGTTAAGTAAGGATTTTTCACGGTAGCACCCCAAATCAGTTTTCGCAAAGTAAAAATGTTTTATTTTTCAAAGACTTTGCGAATTATTGCGCTACTCTGATTTTACAGTAAGGTGGGGTGTTACAATCGAGTTGATAGAAATTGAAATACAAGATATGGGTTGCCGTAAAAGCAAGTAATGGAACTACAATCATGGCGTTTCTACTGCCCAAAAGGATAATTCGCTTGCCCAAATAGGACAACTTGCTTGTAAATTGCCGAATACGTGTTATCATGCTAATCAGAAGCTACCATGCATCCCAAAATTATAATATTTTAAAGACTTTCCTATCTATAATAACTGGAGGCCTTGAAGGATACCCTTTTATACATCCATCTCCACTATATTTCGATTTCCACGCCTTTGAAAGGCTCTTGTATAAAACGAGGCTCGGAAGCCGCCCATCTCATCAATAAGAATCGTCGGTGCAGGCTCCCTAATTCATCGACAATCTAAGTTTTGTCTCTTTTCGATTCTTCAATATTATCACGTTAAATTTCATCGTAATGATATTTCCAGTCTTATAGGATAGAAACATATTGCGAAGGACCCCTCCTGTTACACAGACAAGGGAACTAGCTCGCAAAGGAGCAGAAATGTCACTGGTTAACAAAAGTGGAAGCCTATTAGAATTACATCGAACCTTCTCATAAGGGAGGTATAAGAACTCAAGCCATAAGATAGACACTAGTAAAAACTATCTTTTGGTCCCCCTCTGTTCAGAAGATTGTTTTCTCAAAAGAGTTAGGTTAATATTTATTCTATTTTGTTCGTAATGGACGACGGCCAAACAATACTTAGATCTCGGCATGGCGAGAACCCGGGCACAGGCTGGATGATACTCATTTCGTACTAGAAAGAATCGCAGATTTTTTTTTATAGATGATTTTTATGAATTAAAAATAAAAAACAATAAAAAAATACCATAGAGTTATGAGGCCATCACCTCGGTGGCCCCGTTGACGGAAACACACGTAAACAATTGATATTTTTTATATAGATGTCGTATTGAAGATCATCAAAGGATGATTAATTTAATATTTCATATCTGAAAAACAAAATTCATATAAAAAGTTATTATGTTTCAAAATATGATAAAATATTTAAACTACTTAATAAATAAAATAAATAATAATAATAACATCAATTTTGTATGATATAATGTTGTGCACTACTAAATTTTCATACTAAACAATACTTTATTTAAATGTTTATTTATATTATTGAATTTAAATTTCATGTTAATGCTTAATATAGTCATATTGACCTTGCACTACTAACAATATCGTTGCAAATTATTTTATTATATTGTGTGCCACCTTAATATGTTATATTAAGTACAATTTTGGTATAAATTATTTTATTATATTGTCTATCACCTTAATATTTTAGTTTTATATGTAATTTACGGGTAAAAATGTAATAGTCATCTCTAAGAGCATCAACGATACTTTGCGTTCTTTAAAAAAAAAATATACAAGCCACGTAGGAATAGACACAGTCTAGAAAAATATTTAATCCAATATAAATGCAATTGGACTAGGTCTTGCTGATGTGGCAATAAAAAAATAAAACACGGTCTACTTTTGAGTTTATTTTAGACCCAGGTAAAGACTGTTATCATCCGACTCGGTAAATCGTAATTAAGGGCCCAAAACAGCACCATAAGCAAATTCTACTCAGATACCGATGTAATTTAGAGTCATCCCGGTTCGCACAATAAACCGGTGCAACCCTAAAAGACCGAAGTGGTCCTCTCCCGCCGAAGTCGTTCTAAACCGAGGTCAACATAAACCGAGGTCGTCACCTCCTAAAACAGGTGACGAGGCGCCTACACGCCCCTGTCACGATCTACGGGATTTGTCATCATTCACGTAGGGTCCACTGGTCCAACCGCCCTTCGAAAGTAGCTTTTGCCACAAAACAATGCACGGATTCCAATGTATGAATCAAAAAGGTTACTATAAATAGTTAGCCATTGATATCTGTAAGGGGATTCGATTCGGAACCCAACACTGTTACAATGAAACACGGAACAGCCCATAAAGGTTTTGCACCTCGGTCCACCTCGGACCGGGGCCACTGTTGAGTTTTTCTTGCATGATTTACGTCCAAACCACTTGAAATAATCACATAAACTCCACATTAAATCGTTGTTAAGAATCATACGACAACAAAGACCTAAACTCTTTGAATTAGATTTAATTTTATTATTTTTTAATAATATTGTTCATGTCATCTATGAGTTAAATCGAACAAAATTATAACCCAAAACATTATACTTTCTCTAATTAAAGTTCTGTGGATAAACGTTTTCAACGAGATTTCTCTTACACGCATTCACAACTGTCGAGAGCACAAACTGCACCAACCACCAGCAATGGCGGCTGCTTCAGCTACGCCCTTTGCTCTTCCCTTCAAACTCTCCTCCCCAAAACACCTCCCTCGCACCAGAGCCCTGAAATTGAATCTCAGAGGCACCCATCATAATCTTATAGCTCGAAAAAGGGTTACTTTATCGCCCCCGTCGGTTTCTTGGTCAAAATCCAGCCACAGATCAACACCACCAGCACCTTCATCATCGGTCTCCACCCGCGCCTACGTGTCCGGCCCCGCTTTCGACTTGTCCGAAAATGATCCGAAAATCAATGGCACTGAGGAAGTTGCTGAGCTGCAGCCCATTGATGCTATAAGTTGGGGGCTGTTGTGGAAGCTTATATCCCGGCATAAGTGGAGGGTTTTGGTCTCGATTCTTACACTTTTCGGCTGTACAACTTGTACTCTGGCTATGCCCATATATTCTGGTATGTTTGAGTTCGCACATTCTGATACTGACTCGTTTTTGTACATCCTGATTGGTCATGATAGACGTGGACTGCTGGAATGAGTTTCTCTTAATAAGATTTTTTTGTTGGGTTTGGCGAAGTTTGCAAGATCTTTAGGCAAAGTTTTCATTTTCTTGGCAGAAACATAATGACACTTGTGTGATTTGTGGTATTTTTGAACCAAGAATAAGTTCTTTTGGATTGGTGATGATTGGTTGTGGCTATTTTAGGTAGGTCTCAGTGGATAACTGTTAGATTATATGAGGAGTTGGAGTTAAAATGTCAGTCGAATGCTTTGAAGTTTAGCTCAGACATCGACACATTTTACACTAACACGCTGTTGAATGATTGTGGTGCTTTTATGAGTTATGTGTATACAATTGCTGAAGCTCTTTATATCCTTAATAATGATTTTTATTTTCTGTTTTTTGTTTTCAATCAGACGATACACATATTTTTATTATTTTGAAGAGCTTATGAGGACAAGTGGTCTATACTCTTAAAAATTGAGCTGTTTAATCTACATATTGGATAAATACGAAACAGGAGTCATGCTTGGAGAAACTTACAATTTTCACCTGTACTCTGATTTTAAAACTGAGGAGAAGTATTTGTTTTAGTTCATAGTAAATGCTAATTTTAGTTGGAGAATAACAAGAAGTGTGGAGTTAAAAAATCCTTTCTATAGTTCTCTGTAATCTCACTGAAACCATTAGCTACAAACATGCAAAGTTAAATTTTTTATCATCTGTTTGACAGTGTATAGCACGTATCCTAAAATATGCTCTGTACTCAGAACCTTAATTAGCATTCTGCTCCGAAAAAGTAAAATACACATAAACACGTAAATCAACTTGAATCTTCAACGGCCTGCCACAGATAGCCTGTTTAGAGTGTCTTTCATGTCATTTCAATTGAAGTCCAAATTTGAATATGATTCTTGCCTTGCTCTTTGATTTTGGCTATTATTTCAGGGAGATTTTTCGAAGTGCTAATTGGGGCCAGACCAGAACCAATCTGGAAACTGCTGAGTAAAGTGGGAATTCTGTACACATTGGAGCCAATATTTACAATTATTTTCGTCATAAACATGAATAGCATATGGGAGAAAGTTATGTCTAGCTTAAGAGCACAAATATTTCAACGAGTGTTGATTCAGAAGGTAGAGTAATTTTTCTTTATTATAAATTTTTGCTGTTCAGTATTTGTTAGCTTGCTCATTTGTACTGTGAGAAACAGTTTCAAATACATACATTTTGGGTTACAGTAATGTGTCAATTTTTGTGTAGAGAGCAACAAAGAATGATAAACCTTCGGATTTTGCGCAGATCAGATTTCTGTGAATCTAGTCTAGATGGACTTTTTTGTGTTCCTGCTGACTGCTGAATATTGACTTAATTTATAGCAGACTACATCTTGCTTGTGGTTCATTGCCACTTGAAAATTGGCAATGGAGCTGGTTTTTCAAATTTCTAATGTACATTAAGCATTTGACTCATAAATTTAAGCTCTCACTTGGATCAAATATAACTGAAGAAAATAATTACTGCATTTTGTTTTATGTTTGTTTCCAGTTTCCAATAATATATCAGTTTGTCTTTTGCAGGTGGAGTTTTTCGACAAGTACAAGGTATGCAGGACTCTCTTCTTAGTTCTTACTATTTTATTCATTCTGTTATTTGATATCATGATCTGTGTGCATTTCCTACGTTGGTGTTAGCTGATACATGTCTTCTCTGGCATATCATTAATATGTGTCCTTTTTTTTTGTTTGGAGGCACTGCCAGATTTTTCAAAATTAATACTCTTCTATAAAATAGCCCACAATTAAATGAATTCCTGAAGCGACAAAAATGTATCTTTGATGCGTAACCTTAAGCTTTCTCTACAATTTCATTTCTATGGATTTTGTAGGAATTTGATATAAACTTGATGGAACATATATGTTGTGATTTAGTTCATGATTGGATATAAGTTATTTTGGATTTGGTTGAATTTATTGGACAGATTGGGTTAATTTTGGAAAAAGTTAGAGTGAGTTTGGTTTGAGATATTTTGAGTTCGTATGTATGTAATATTTAAAATATAATGATTAAAATTGATGTGATATAATAGTAGGAGATAGGCTATTTGAAGTGATAGGTAGTTAAAATATGTGAGTGGATGAATAGTGAATTAAAGTTGATGTGATGTGCGAGGATGATTGATTGGTTTATTTAATATTGATAATATTGATGAGAGTTAGGTTGAGTTAAGTTTGAGTTGGATTTTGAGATAAAAAAAATTATAGGTCAACCATAACTGGATATTTTATATCCAATCAGGCCCTTACGAACTTCCAAAGGGTAATTAGGACCTTAAGGATCAGTAAATTTGGTGATAACTGTTATGCTCTTGGTTACAAACAATTAGGAAATGACACTTCAAGAGGAGTTGTTGATTCCAGTAATTATAAAAGATGCTAACATAGGTTCACAATGCCAATAGAAACTTCCTTTTGAACAGGATTTTGCTTACGTCTATAGACTAAGAACCCTTTAAACACTGTTTTTGATATCTTTCAGCCACATTTTTGAATCTTAGAATGCTTCTTTGTTTATCCTGCTTTAGCTTTATGCCTATTGCTCTATATATTACTTTTAATCTCCTTGTTTTATTCAGTGATTTTTTTTTCCCCATTCTTTGTAGGTTGGAGAACTTACTGCTTTATTAACATCTGATCTGGGTTCTCTCAAGAACATTGTCAGTGAGAATATATCAAGAGACCGTGGTTTCAGGGCAATTTCTGAGGCAAGCTACTCTACACTATGCAAAAGTGAGCTAAATTAATATATTCACAATTTATTTGATAGGAGTTACTAGTTATGACCTAGCTCCTTCATCTGAATATATTCTAGAATTTCGTTGGAGATCAGGATTCAGACAGTTAAGGGTCACTTTTATAAGTTTTACCGTGCAAGTAGTAGCATTCTGTTTTTATATATTACATATATGCATATATTTGCTTCTACCTCTTTGCGTTAAGCTTTGAAGACTCCTTCAATATGATTGAATCATCTTCGTTGCAGGTTATTGGTACGCTTTGCTTACTTTTTGCTCTGTCCGCCGAGCTGGCACCTGTTTTGGGCTTACTTATGCTTACAGTGTCTCTGCTAGTTGGTAAGTGTTTATATCATAGAGTATCAGTTTTTATCTTTGTCTCTGGAATTGGTGTTCTCAAAGTTAATAAACACAACAATTTTTATATGGATTCAAAGAATTAGTAGATTTGTCTACTGCAGCATAATAGTGGAAGAAAAGGATAGCATGTTATTAATTCCATTGAGCAATGTACTCTTGTAACATCCACATAATTAGTGTTGTAAATTAAGAATAATGATGTTTATGAAAAGTAAAAGTAGGTTCCTCCCATTTTATTGCATAAAAAATAAAATAAAATGCCAGTCTCCTTACATAGTTCTTGACAACATATTTCACTGCGTTCCTTCTATTCGACTTGTAGGCCGACCTGTATTAATCATGGCATTTATATCAAGAAGCAAGTAATAGTATGAATTGGCTAGATCTTATTGCCTACGTGTATAAAAGAATTTTCTTGCATTTGTCACCCTTAAAATGGTTTTCCTTTCTGGTATTTTCATTCTTTTAGTCTTGGGAATTTAATTAACATTGTGATTCTCCAGCTGTCTATAAGAGAACTACTGTGAATGTCTTTAAAGCTCATGGATCTGCCCAAGCCGCCATTGCCGATTGTGTTACTGAAACTTTTGCTGCTATACGTACTGTAAGTTCTTTTTTTTAAAACACGTCTTCTCTTTTTTTTTTTATATATATTTAGCATGCGTTAAATCATGTTTCTCTTAATTATATAATTCTTGCAGGTAAGATCATTTGGGGGAGAGAAACGTCAAATGTCACTTTTTGGTCGACAGGTAGAGACCACTTGCAAAGTTGCTTTTTGTATGCTTTGGAAGGGTGTAATAGAAATAATATAGCTATTATGAAGTTTACGGGGCTTGTCTATGCCTTAGCCTGTAATTGGAATTTTGTCAGGTTCTTGAGTACGAGAGTAGTGGCATAACCCTTGGTATATTCAAGTCAATCAATGAGTCCATCACCAGGGTTGCTGTTTATGTCTCTTTAATGGCCCTGTATTGTCTCGGAGGAAGCAAAGTTAAAGCTGTAAGAAGCTCAAAATTTTTCTATCTCCCCCTGTCAAATTTTACTGCAATACCATCTTCAAATAGAATGGACACTACTCGTTCTTTATTTGTAGGGCGAACTTGCAGTTGGGACAATGGTTTCTTTTATTGGATACACTTTCACTCTGACGTTTGCCGTGAGTAACCTTTGGTGCTGTATTCTCCACTTTTTTACATAATAATCATTTTCAGGTACTGAGACTGAACATTTTCTTTCTAGGTTCAAGGGGTGGTGAACACCTTTGGCGATCTTCGTGGAGCATTTGCTGCCGCAGATAGAATTAACTCTGTTGTATCTGGTGCTGAAATTGACGAAGCACTTGCTTCAGCTTTAGAAAAGGACTTGAAGAGAAGGAACTTGCACGATCCGAACCTTGAAGCTCTTCTAATCAATACTTCCAATGGGAAGGAGCAAACGAGGAGTGCAGGTTATATGTCATCCTTAAAATCTGCTAATGACGTGCGAAACCTTGCACGGTCGGGCGACATATGCCTTGAAGGTTAGTACGTTTTAGTAATAATGAGATTCATGTGTGGTTTTTTTATTTGGTGAAACTAGGAACTCTTATGTATAGTTATCAACTTTTATTAATTATATCCTGCAGATGTTCATTTCTCGTATCCTCTGAGGCCTGATGTAGAAATCTTACGAGGGCTCGATTTAATGTTAAAGTGTGGAACTGTGACTGCTCTAGTTGGTCCAAGTGGTGCAGGCAAAAGTACAGTAGTGCAGCTTTTAGCTCGGTTTTATGAGGTTATGTCATGTGGTATCAAATTAAGCTCAACAGAAGTTGTATTATTTGTGAGGAGTAACTAACTGGAGTCGTTTCTGATTTTGCAGCCTACCAAAGGTCGCATAACAGTTGCTGGAGAGGATCTCCGTTCGTTTGATAAGAGCGAGTGGGCTCGAGCGGTTTCCCTAGTGAATCAAGTAGTTTCTCTGCATTTTTTCTTAGTAGTCACCTTAAATTTGGTTTATTTTTTTATCGGAAAAAGGAAACTTAACTATTTGTTGTAAACTGCCATAGGAGCCTGTTCTATTCTCTGTTTCTGTTGGAGAGAATATCGCTTATGGACTTCCAGATGACTATGTTTCCAAGGATGACGTGATAAAAGCTGCTAAAGCAGCTAATGCTCATGAATTTATTATTTCTCTACCACAGGTGCAGCTGCATAAATGGTTGTTTGCCTAAACTCCTATTCACTTGCGTGTTTTTTTTATCGAGTGTTTTTCTTTTTCTTTTTTCTTATTTTTTGAAAGGGTTATGACACATTAGTTGGAGAGCGTGGTGGATTGTTAAGTGGAGGACAAAGGCAGGTACTCTCATCTCTCTCTCTCTCTCTCTCTCTCTCTTCATACATACATTATGCATAAATCTGCAGCCTATATATCACTAATTCCATTTTCTCATATCCAGAGAATAGCCATTGCTAGAGCTCTACTGAAAAATGCTCCAATCTTGATTCTTGATGAGGTAGGCATCTGGCAAAACCCAACTGGATTCATTTATAAGTTAATCACATTAACATGCCAAATATTCTTTAATGTAATGTTATAATTTGTCTCCGTTTCCTGAAAAAAAAAAAAAAGGAATGATGAAATCATGGCGAAGTTCCGATTAGATTACCCCACGAAAATATTTTTCCAAAGATTTTTTTTACCTTAAAAGTTGTGAGTGGATACATACTAAAAAAAACACTATTTGTCCATTTCACAATTTTCTCTGTTTGAATTTGTAGGTAATTATAAAAGCAAAGCGAATCATTACTATAGTCTCAGATCTAGAAATTTTTTTATTCATTCACTTACATGTTTCTAACTACTAGTCATTATCTTACTATTTTTGCAAATCAACTTGAATATGTACATTTTCATCTTATATCCTTTCACATTTTCAAACATTTTCATTCTCTCGAAGAAAATGTTCCAAATGAAAGTGATAATAATACCCCCACTTTAGGATTCATTATGTGCAGTGCGGGAAAACATCAGTTATCTTCAGTTGTTTTGATATATTTTTAAAATATTTTTATTTGGACCGTGTGTAAAGTGCAGTTTACCTTAATTTTTCACTCTTCATGTTTGAATCAGCTATGGTCATTATATAAATTAGATATATCTGTATATAATTTGGTATTGTATTGCCTTAGACCAATGACCATACCCAATTTTCTTTGCTTTATTTGCTGTGTGAAAAAAAGGCTACAAGCGCTTTAGATACCGTAAGTGAACGACTGGTTCAAGAAGCTCTCAACCGTCTGATGAAGGGTAGAACGACTTTAGTGATTGCTCACAGACTGAGCACAGTCCAAAATGCCCATCAAATTGCTTTATGCTCAGACGGCAAGATTTCAGAACTTGGGACACACGCAGAGTTGCTGGATCAGAAGGGTCTATATGCTTCCCTTGTAGGCACCCAAAGGCTTGCATTTGAATGACAAAAAAAAAATAAAAATGGCAGATTTCTAAAACAACACAAATTTGTGAGTGTTGCTCCTCCTCTTTTTTTTTTTTTTTTTTTTCTTCTTTTCTTGAAGACTGGTTAGTTTTTACCTTACTAAATTTCTCTTTCTCTCTTCTTGCTTGCTTTCTTTCTTTCTTCAGGAGAGAACTCTGTCAGTTTGGCTGGTGTGTATGTTTTGGAAAGGCGAAATGATGCATTTGCTAGGATTTCCCCCAGTCTAAACGCCTAAGACTGGTAAGTTTCAACAAAACGATGGGGAGTTGTACTGTTACTTTCTTAAGCAAAAAAGATTCCATACACACATCGAATGTATACAGGATCATATATTCGGTATGAAATCCCAAATTTTCATTTCTGAAACTTTTCTGGATACAGCTAAGTTTTTCCCTTAGTACATTCTGGAATACTTAAAAAAAAAGGCTAAACTTGGTATATGTCTTAAATGAACTTGTATTTATTTATAAAATTCTTCTGCTGCAAAAATATTCGACCCGTTTGTTCGTGGTATCTATGTTGTGCTGCTCGAGAATGAGATTGTTGCATTCAAAACTGCTAAGCACTCGGTAGGAAGTGCAAGGAACGTATCCATGAAAATATCGTTAATAGGCTCGACTTTTGCCACCCCAACTAGCCTGCACATCCCGTCTTTTCCAAGCCTCTCCCCTTTTCCTCCTCTAATAATCTTCCCCTTACATTCTTCCGATGTTAAAACCGTATCCACAAGCAGCGGCCGAGCCTTATACACAGTCCCAACAGAAAAACAAAATCTGGCCCTGAACTTGAGCTCGACCTGTAAATAAATATATTTACAGTGATCTTATGAAAAAATGATTTTATGAAAAAAAGAATTCAGACAGTTACCACCTTGCCAGAATCCCGGTCGATGCTTCCATGAAAGGCCTCTGGAAGTATGTCGATTTTCAAAAAGGGCGGTAAGGGCAGCCCTAGGAACTTCGTAGTGGCTGTTGATAACGGCGGTATATACAATCCGTTCACGTCGAAATCAACGGAAAATTCGTCCGTTGATTCGGCTATTTTAGCTGCCATCCCAAAACCCGAGCCTCCCTTGGCATTGTAATCGAAATTTGGGTATCTCGAGATGCTGAGCTGGCATGCTTCGAGGGTCGTGAACTTGACGTTGTACGAGTCGGGTTTTTGAATCTGGGTTTGTTTGGTGGTGGCTGTTGAGGCCAGTTGGTGCTGGTTTAGGTTGAGTTTTGGAGAGAGATAGAAAGAAGATGTGGTGTGGGTTGTTTTGTGGAGAAGTTGAAGACTCAGATTGGGGATTTGGCAGTGCATTATTTGGTTGGTGGTCTGTAATGTGTTTATGTGTGTAGTTTTTAGTTTGAGAATTTTGTTTGTCAAGTGTTGTGAGAATTGGATTGGGTTTTGTGGCTTGCCTTCTATTGATATGGGGGACACTGATGTGAGGCTACTGTGATTCTTTTTAGTTGGTGGGTTCCTTATCTTGTTTTTGGCTCCAAACTTATTTCAACATTTTGTCATATGAATATTCTGCATTTATTTTTAATTGAGTACAAACCTGAACCGTCAACATTTATTTTTAATTTAATATTTCTTTTAATAGACAAAACATATTAGAACATTTTTATTATTCTAGACCTAGTATTTTACTTTTTGCAATGGATAATTTTTTAGTTTTTATTAC